ACCAAACCTCGTTATATTTAGAAACTATTAAGAACTTTTGTTACAAATGGGTGTGTAAATACATATAGCAAAATAAATTTAAAACGTTGAATTGAAAAAAAGTGCTAAGCTTTTGAATTGCAAATATTTCTGTGAGCATAAATTTTAGAAATTATTTATCGGACAATAAGTTACTGACATTCATCATTATTTCTTTAACAAGTTATTAGTTATATGTGGTATTTAATGTTAATAATTTGTTAAAATAGGGATATATGTGGTATTTAAAATTAACAATAAGCTAAATATTTTTTTTAATTAATTGCTTCATTTACGTTTTGGACGGAAACACATTAGAATAACTTGATCTAAGAAATATGTAATAAAAAAAAACAATGATTCATAGCCCATCTTAAGTTGACCACTAAAGAAATACACCTCAAGTTGTCAACCTACAAAGGTTTCCTCTTAATAAAATGTGATAAAAATGTTAAAAAAATTTATAAAAATGTTTAAAAATAAGACTAAAAAACTATCATTTATCGTAGGAACAGGGGGAGAAAAAAAATTCTAGTAAAATTACCGTACCGTATGGTTATAAAATTTCGGGTAAAAAGGAAAAAAGCATAATTCTGGTTAATAAAACTAAAATATACAGAATTTATACAATTCAGTTTGAAATTTTTCCGTTCATTTAGTAACGGAATGCATAAAATTCTGATTTTTCAAAACTATAGTCCTCATTACCTCACATTTAGTAGAAAATACTAAACTGAAAAATAAATTTAACTGAATAAATAGTTTTTTTGCTATGCTCTAAGGTATCATGATAAATTGCCAAATTTTATCACATATTATAAAATCATATTTTAATGTTAATTTTATGATAGTCATTCCCGAAGCGCTTCAGTAAAAATTACCAACCTTTTTGCTGTTCCCAAACAGTCAGAAACATGGCAACCTTTACCATATTCTGGTAGTTTTGATCTAACTCTTTTCTTCAGTGCAAAATTGGCGAACTTTTGAGAAAAACAATCGTTTTTTACTTGAAATTTGGTAAAATTTGGGATGTATATAAAATTGTTTATAAAATTGTTTTTGGGACAAATTTAATTTTTTAAACGAAATTAAATGGAGCAAAAACAAATGGAATATATTCATCGTATGCTATAACTAAAATGAATCATTTTAAAAATTAAATTTATTTTCGTTATTTTCACGACCATTATGATTTCAGTTTCTAAGCGAAGCGCCCTTGATAAATAAATATTCTTTATATCTTTTTTCAAAAATGTATGTACATTATAAGTTGCAAATCAGTATTCAAGCGAGCAAAAAGCAATTCAATCAAATCACAAATGAGGAAAGCAAAAAAAATGACCAGTTTCAATGCGAGAGGAAATTTTCCTAATAAATGCTTTCGGAGCTCCTCTGTGGCAATCAAACAGGTTTGGGTTTTTTCAAATCATTTTCTTTAGTAATGATTCATCTGATTTTGACAGCGTCTTTGTATTACCATACTTAAATATTATTTTGCGACCCATGATGCAACCCATCTTCATCGCAGAACACCCTATACGTATATCGTTTATGAATGAATGTGGAATAAATACTTAATTCATCATTTTATTCTTTAAACTGTATTTTATTTTTCAATTACTTTCAGTGGGTCATGCAATCTTAACTTGAAGGGAGTGGAGACCAGTTTTATCTCTTTCAGAAAATATTTTTTTAAAAAATTATTTAAATTTGAATTTTTTATATATTATCATACGAAAATGTACCTAAATGTATAGTGAAAACATTTTTTATCTATATTTTTTATACATATACCCGTCGTTGAACGACTACCAATGTTCAACTCAGTAGTCTTGTAATTTCGAAGCCAATCCAGAAGACAAGGGAACTCCTGGATCAAGTATTGGGAGAAACTTTCCTTCAAGGAGGACTTTTTGATGGAACTAACCCACATTTGCCTTACATCGAAAGGAAAACCACGGAAACCTCCCACGGTTAGCCTGACGTCAATGGGAATCTGTCTACCACTGAGGATATTTTACGTTAGCGCTGTGATCGGTGCAAGACGGATGCAGAAATCGTATCGGCCATTCGGTTCATCTCATTGGAAGGAGAACGCTCTATCCTATCACTGTTGTAGTAGAAACATAAGGAAAGAATAAGAAGATTAATTTTCTTAAGAGTGTGTTAAACATCCCTGGTCTACCCTTATTAAAATATGAAAACTACGCGTGAGACAAAATTAAATGAAACGTACCTTAACTGTATTAAAGTGGATCTGATAACACAGAATTAAAATATTTAGCAAGATTAATAATATTAATTATTTCTTAAACATGACTCAAATAAATTTAAAAATATAAAGTCATCATTAAGTTAAACCTTGACCTTTCCCTTATCTTTCATACTAGGTTTCAGTAAGACATATTGGTCCCAATATTTTCATGCTTACCTAGAAAGAAATAGAAAAAAAATGTATTTGTTGAAAAATACTAAGACGTACTTTTTTATTGTCTTCATCACGTTTATTTCTTATGCATGCAATTTGAAAAAAAATTTCATCGAATATACTTACACTTCTTTAACAGTAATTTTTCTTATTTAATTATTAATTTCATTAATTTATTTATTTATGTGCCAAAATAAATGTGTATTAGATATTAATGATCCTCATAAAATAACAATATTACTTCACCTGACATATTGTAGCTTTCAGTGACGTCTAATACTTTGACTTAAAACATTTTGGTTTGGTTCACTATTAGTTTGGAGGGGGGAAGGGAAACGGCTGCTATACACTGCAAAAAAATTCCGGATCAAATTACTGCAAAATCCATTGTGAATCCATCGGAACATGTGACGGCACAAAAAATCTGATATGCCGTAACTTTTACAGTAATAATTACCGTAAAATCACTGAATCACTCTAATTAAATAAATATTACTGTAAAAATTACGGAATAATATTTTAAGGAAAAATGGATTTCACGGATGATTGCGCTTAAAGTACCAATAGTTTATACCGTAATTTGATCGGAATGTTTTACAGTGTAGGTACCACCAAAATTATGCTTAAAGTAAAAAATGCATAAATGAATTCAGATTTATCCCTTAATAAAATTCCTTAGTAAAATAATGATATCAGTTTATCTTAGAAACTATAAGACCAATTTTTGCAATTTATATTTCATCAAAACGATGACATTAAAATTTTAGTAAAATTTTTCAACTAAAAAAATTTTATTTTGTCTTTTTTTTTAACAAAATTAAATTATCTGTGTTTTTCAACTTTTTTACTGAGTACATAAATTTTTTTTTCTGCTTATAATTTACTAAAATTTTTAAATAAGTAAATTCTAGAACTACATTTATTTTAAACACAATTTAGTAAAAAAAATTTTACTTTTAAAAAATATCGGAATTTACTTAGTTTGGGATCTTTGGAATATTGAGTCTTTAGAATTTTATGGTTTTATTTCGAAATTCTATCAGTATATTAAAATCAGTTTGGAAAACGATTTTAAACTCTTTAATTAGTTTATTTTTATATTAGAGTAGTTTTATTGCTTTATTAAAGTAATTTTATGATTGACTTTTGTAATTAGTTTTTGACTGGAAGACGAGAGACTACATGTTGCGCATAATAGGAATGAATAATCACTTAAACTTATTTTATGAATTTTTCTTTCATGAAGTACATTATAAACGAAGCAGATATATTCTTTTGTATTAAAAATAACCATTGAATCTTAATCATTTAAAAAGTAGTTGAATATGCAATGAAACTATTAAGTCTATATATATATATGTGTATATATATATATATATACATNATATATATATATATATATCTTGAAGACCTAAAGTCTGTGTCTATTTAATCCAATCTTGATTAAACCAAAATAATATAAATATCTTGAAGACCTAAAGCTTGTGTCTATTTAATCCAGGCTTGAACATTTTTAATCATTTAGTTACATTTTTTGGGAAAAAATCAAATGCGGGAGAAAATCTTCAAGCTAAAGTTACCAACTTTAAGTAAATAAAAAAAAATTTTACTTTCATCTCAAAATTTTTGTTTTTAAATGTAAAATTTTACTCCTCGAGCTGGTACTTCATCAATTATTATCTTATTTTCACATATGTTTCAAAAATAGAAATTTTTAACGAAATTACTTTAAATATTTAACTGAATTTTCGCTAAATGTAAATTATTTACCTTGTAATTTAATTTTGTGCGAGTAAACATTGCAATGAAACAACCTTAATATTTGTCGAAAAATTGTAGCAAAAAGAAACGTTTTAGCATAATTCGATAAAAAATATAAACACAAAAACGAATTATATTTTAAGTCTTAGAACGTATGCACCGATTTTTTTTAAACTGAGATAAGTTCATATTTTTTTTTTAATTTTTTTTTTTCCCTTTTCGAGGCTTTTATGTGTCAAAGTTTGAATGAATTAAAAGTATTAGCAACGAAACAAAATCTGTTTAGATTTTGTTTTTAACTCTATAATTTGATGAAACATCAAAATGCACAGTAACTATTAAAACCGTAGAACAAAATGATTAAAGAACGGCTTTTTAGTTTCAAATGGATTAATTCCACTTTCAAAACTAACGAATCATATGTCAGCTTTAAATAACAGTTGATTACTTAAATTTGAAAAGTATTTGTCAAATTCTTAAACTATAGTTTGAATGAATAATTTGCGTTAGAAAAAGAAATTACTTAAATTTATCTAAATAAATATATTCATCTACCTTTTTTATAAACTTAATTTTATAACAATCTGAAAATCAATAAAACAAGAGGTTTTTAAAGTTTTCATAAAGTGTCATTTGATTTCTCTAAATCATTATGCTCTATAAAATAGATTAATAGAAGGAAGAAAAATTTATGGAAAATAAAAAAATGTATTAAAGAAAATGTGTTTACTATCCATATAAATATACACAAAAACTCAAAAAAGCAGTTAAAAAATATAAGTAAAATGCACTATTTCACAGCATTACATTTTATTTATAACTTAATTAAAAATTCATTTAATATCCTCGAAATTATCAAATTCTGCTTCGAAGTTATATCAGTAATTGACATTTTATAAATTATCTATAATTTCTATAAATGTCTTCATTATCAGTAATGTTAAATTATTAGCTACCATAATTAGCATTTTTAAATCAACAACTTGATACATTTCTAACAAATAAAAAAGAAGAATTTACATTATTTTTAATAAGTAAACAAACCTAATAAAACAAGCTGAAACTTTTATATGTGTTATTACTAAAATTTTTAAAAAACATTAGTAATAATGTGTAATAAATAAAGCAAAAATAAAATTATTCTTACACTTACTTAGGAAATTCATTGCATGATTAAAGGCAAAATCATTCAAAAATTTTTGTTCAATGTGGCAAAGATTCCACAGCATTAAATGGAATGAGTGTAAAAAGATAAGTATCAAAAATACAAAAATGTTTTTCACTAAAATATTTAAACATCCATTATGTTTTCTTGTCTTTCTAAAGATACATAACTAAATTTACATTGAAGTGGTCGTATAATTCGTCTTGTATGATTACTTACAACAGGCCAGTTTTTGTATGTAAGTACACTTAAAAGAATAGAAAGGCATATTAATCCAATAATCATAACAACAAACGATGCAGATGAATGATATTCTTTTGGGACTGAAGTAGGATCACATTGCAAGTCCTCCACTGCAATAGCCATAACTGATTGTCCAATATTGCTAGAGGGAAAGCCGTCATAACAATAATAATAATCGTGATGAATTAAATTAAGTGGTGTAGTTTTCATCCATTCATACGTATTCACTAAATTGCAATCACAATTAAAAGGATTAGCAGTTAAATTCAATCTTAAAGATCGTCTCGTTTCCAAACTTTGAAGAGTTTCATCACTAAGTTTGGATATCAAGTTATGCCCGACATCAATAAATTTTAAATGCGTGAGACAACTGAAGCTCAAAGACAAATCTTTCAAACGGTTATTTCCCATATACAGTTCTTCCAAAGTTGGCAAAAAACAGAATTCACCAGGATCAATTCCGGAAATTTCGTTATTTTCCATATTCAAAACACGAAGTTGTTTCAAACTGCTGTTTCCGAAAATCTGTACTAAATTATTCAAATAGTCACCCGCTTTTACCCTTTCTGTAAAAGCATTTTTAAGATGCAACTCTCTTAAATTCACAAAATTGCTAAACATTCTCGGATGATGATCTTTAAACACTATATATAAATCGTTGTCATTTAAGATAAGTTTTGTCACATTGCCCACATTATGAAATGTTCTACCTTTAATTGTCTGGATATGGTTATTTGAAAAATCAATGGTGTGTAGTTTTTTATATAAAGTTTCTTGTCCAAAGATATTGAGGGGTAAATCTTTAACTTCATTCCCGACAAACACAAGTATTTCAGTCATAGGAGGCATTTTTCTCAACATTAATACGTTATCAAATCCAGAATCAGTACAGTTAGTAACAAATTTTCTGTCCAAACCATATTTAACGTAACCACAAGTACAAAGTTCTTTGAATTCAGGAGGACAAGAAGAGATAGAAAAATGGAAGCAAAAAAAGAAAGTAAAGAACTGAAGAATGACTGTAAGCATACCGCAGCACATGTTGAGTCCGGTGACTTCACTCTCCAAAAGTGTCCTTAACACCTGTGTTTACATCCGAAACATCACACATAGGAACCAGGAAATTAGCAGAAAGGGTATTAATCTTACAGTTTCATATTTTCATTAAAGATATCTGAATTCAAGTGTAGAATTTATAGATGAAATAAAGTCACCTCACAATGATACAAATGACTGAATGAAAGCGAGCAAAACTTTCATCCTACAGTGTCGATCAAAATAGCGTTTCTAAAGAAATAATAACGTTGTCCGGTCCGGCCGGGCGAAAATCAAACCTGTTTGGGACTGTGCTGTTAGTGCATTTGCGTACTTTTCGGTTCAATTTTTACCTTAAGGGGGGGGGGGAGAATGAAGGAAGGCGAATTCCATTTTTAAATCTATATGCAAATCAGAATGTAGCAATATAATTTTACAAGGGGAAGGGAAAAAGCTATGCTTTCTATCAATTAATTTATTAAATTTTTTTAAATTCAATTTATCAAAATAATTAATTTATTTTTCTTTATAAAATTTTAAAAATGTATCCAGGTGCACCCTGAAGAAACTTCAATTTTTTTCCTATTTGAATGCACCAGTTCCCAACTAAGGGGTCTGTACCCCCTCGGGATTATTAAGCTGATTATCACTGATTGCACCATGGCGTGGAAATCAGCTTACTAATGGCGTGGAAATCAGCTAATGAATTTCTGTCTCGTTTTCATCAGAATATTTAAGCTCATCATAAAATTATATTTTCATTTTCTGTTCAACTAAAAAAGGGCTGAAAAAAATAGCAGAAATATCAAACGCAATTATTAATTATTTTATTTGAGTATGTCGTAATAAAATATTAAAGTGGACCAATTTTATAAAAATTATAAAATTTTTAAATTTTAGGATATTTTTTTCTTTTTACAAAAAAGAAAATCAAAGTTTGAGAATATTTAATTACATCATTATATCTAGAGTTGGAATACATTTTTGATAATCAAAACAATTATATTTAAATTAATAATAATTAAATAATTTTTGTAGCATAATGCATTTTTAATAATCTTTTATAATACTTTATAAAATGAATTTTTTAAGCAAAAAAAAGAATGAATGAAATTGTAGAATAAAAATTTTTCAAACTGATTTTATTATATTGAAAAATAATATTTTTCAGTGTAAAACACTATGCAGCGCGAAACGTTTAGAGTGACACTTTTAAAATTTATTTATTTATATTTCATATTTATATACTCATTTGATCCTATTTAAGATTCTACATGGAAAAATTTTATTCTGTTAATTTCATTTTTCTGTTAACTTAAATATAATTTCAGGAATTTCGTAGCAATTTTCCTTAATCCAGAAAAGCAACTTATAAGTAAACAGTATTGCCATTTTGGGGCGTCATCACACTTTTTGTTTATAAGTTAAGTTGAAACGAAATAAAAATCATAAATTATTGTAATTTAAAATTGGACAGTGTAAGAATTTCTATGTCTTTAAAATGAATAAAATATTTTATTTTACTGTTATCACATGCGTGTTTAAGCACCTATTGAAATCATTTACAAGCCTCACATTGTTTTTCTCACACATTACATGCTATCATTTATTATTTTATGACTTAGTTTTATGTGTTTACTGAAATAGGATAATTTATATTATTGAGGTTCAATATTTTATTTGTATAGACAAGAATAAACAGATATTTAGGCTATTAAAAAATTTCGAACCCATAAGCTTACAAAGAAAATCTAATATAAAAATCCAGCTAATTAAATAATTATTACTTTTTAGGAGCCTAAATATCTGTTAATTCTTAACAACACAAATAAGATATTTTCTAAAGTAATTTAAGAACCTCAACAATTAGAATTATCTTATCTCATAAAAAAGCATAAATAAGCGTATAAAACAAGGAAATAAAATAATAAATGATAGCGTATCATAAGTGTAATATTTGACTGAAGATTCCAATGATAAAAGTAAGAAAACAAACAAAAACTTTAAAAAAAAAAAATTTGAAGTTAAGTTTTTTAATCCCATTTTCTTTTGCGTTAATAGCGAAGTGTTGTATTTGTATTTACATAGCATTAAAATAGAAAATTATAAACAAAGGTGTGTAACCAATCACTCTTTCATTAACTTATAACACACAGGATACCCACGTAAGAGCATATCCACCCGTTTGAGTACCGAAGGCCTGCAGTTATAATTAGAAAAGTGTATCTAGAAAAAGTAAACTACATATGCACTAACATTACAAATTGATTACAGTGACACCTGGTGGAAGTTCTTTATATTTGACAATTCCATCTTGTAAACGGAACATGATAGTTGAAGAGAGGGGGAGAAACCCATTTAAATGTTGAAGAGTAGCAGTTCCTAATTTTTTACGGCTATTCTTTTGGCAAAACCCTGATATTGTAAAAATAGGTTCATTAGTAGTTGCGAAAATACTAACTAAAAAAAGGGAAAATAAACACTGCTTATTATTTTGAAAATATTTAATATCAGGAATAAAATATATTTAATATGAAGAATAAAATATTTAATATGAAGAATAAAATACTTAATATTATGAATTTGTTCTTGGTGTTAGCATAAGCATATGCTAAAAATGGAAAATATAAGCTTAATTATGATTTTCAAAAAAGAACTGTTATAAAGGGTGAGAATAGTTAATAGAGAAGCGTGATACTTTATTCTTGAATTTTATTTTTTTTTTTTTGAATCGAAAAAGTTGATGAGAAACACTTATGGAATTTCTTATAAACGCATATCCTTTTCATTATTTATTCAATATATTGTGATTGAACAAGAAATATTTTTCTAAAAAAGTTTGTGATCTTATTTTTACATAATTAAGTTCATATAAACAGCCGAAATATGAATTATTGATAAGATTTTTTTTTTCCAATGCCCACCTGTGTTAACATCCGTCAATTCAGACATTTACAGGACGATTTCTGCTGACCTCTCTTTCGAGGGCACCATATTATATATATGTGGGCCAGCATCGCTCCCACAGTGACGACAGATAGTACAGAGAAGGAAAGAACATCGGGATTCGAACCCAGAGCCTTTCTGATGCAAGGACAGTTCCCTGCCCCCTACACAGGCCGGTCGGCTTGATAAGATATAAATATACTTATTAATAGTTAAAAAGAAGTCCTAATTCTCGGAATACTTGTAATTCCTCCATGGAATCCAAAATGAGTTCCCTGAAGAATACATTTTTGAATATCAATGCTATGAAACGATCACTTAAGACACGAATTTATTTTTCAGTGATTTCCAACATTGTAAATTGATGAAGCAATCTTAAATAAAAAGGGGGAACAATCTGTAATCACAACATATACTTTTCTTTTCGATGTTTAAACTTCTCTTTTTGTACATGCTCGTAAAGGTATCTCGTATCTAAAATAATTATAAGAACTAAAACTGATAATTGATTGAACTGATAAGAACTGATTATCTTTTTAAGAACGTTTGTTAAATCTAAGAGTTAAAAATCAAAAGTAAACAAATGTGCATTTTAAGCGTTCTTATTTTAGTAGTAACCTCTTCTAAGTTTACTCTTACTAAATCGGTGATGCTTTACAGCTTTGCAATTCATTTTTGCTTTGCACTATTTTCAAGATAAGAAAGCTAACGCAACATTTTTTTGCGGGAACTCTAGACACTCTAGAAGTTTTCATTTTCATTAAGTGAAACACTTAGCCCTTTTATTATACTCAGACATCGCTTCTATAATTAAAGTTGAAGCTGTTACAAAGTTAAAAGAATGAATACGAACTGTAGTTGGCACCTTGTAGAAATCCAACGCACTGGGTCACACGACAAACCTTCCTCATGAGGCTTATGATCAGTTAAAAGATTCTCTAGACCCTTAATAACCACGCCTTAACTTTAGTAATTTTTGATGAATATAAGCAACCTGAGTTAAGGAAAAAAATTATAATAAGCAGTAAAATCAAAGTCATAAAGTGCTATGGAGTATGAAAACGGTCTGTCTTCCCCATTGGCAAAAAATGTTCAAAACACTGATTAATCCAAGCAGAATTTCTTTTCTTGGTTAAAACATTGATTTATACTGTAACATCAGTTTTCATTTCCAAAGGAAATTATGATATTTGTTTTAAGGAAAAAATAAAAAATTTAAACATAAGGGGAAAATAGCCCCTCTATTATTTAATTTATCCACTTCACGGAGAAAACTGTCGTTAAAATTTTACTTTATAAATTGTGACTTCAAAAAAAAAAAGCTTCCCACTAAAAAAAAAAAACTTTAAACATAATTTTCTTCATCTGCTTAACATAATTTTAAACATAACTTTTTCAAAAAATTGAAAAGTTTTTCTTTTTTTTTCATTCTGCTTAAATGTAAAGAAGAATCACTTTATTAACTTTATTAAAGATAATAATACTTAAAAAAAATTCGCCTGAATTTTCCTAACGTTTAAAAGGTCATTAACAAGGGAAAAATATTTTAACGAAGAAAACTGTAGTTAAAATTTTACTTTATAAATTGTGACTTCAAAAAAAAAAAAAATTCCCTCTAAAAAAAAAACTTTAAGCATAATTTTCTCCATTCTGTTTAACATAATTTTAAACAGAATTTTTTTAAAATATTAAAAAAAAAAATTTTTTTTTTATTCTGCTTAAATGCAAAGAAAAATCACTTTGTTAACTTTAATATATAAAAAAAAATTTCGCCAGAATTTTTCTAACGTTTAAAAGGTCATTTTAACAAGGGAAAAATATTTTAACGAAGGTATGCATTTCCTTCATTTTAATGTTATGCAAACCAAGAACCCAAGAATCAAGGTCAGAACTTTCAATGTAACCTGTTTTTCAACAAAAAAGAAAAAAACTGAAGACTTAAAATTAAGGGGGGGAAATCACAGTTTGTGTGATATGAGTCATAACATTAAAAAAAATATAACAACCGGAAAAAAGTTTTGATCTAAGAAAACAGGCAGTTTTAAACTTGTTTAAAAAGTCTCATAATAAACGCTAAAAGAGGAGTGACCACAACAATGTCGTTAGGGTTAAAAACCCATTATTATTAATTAATATGCATTTTTAAATGCGTGTTTTAACAGAACAATTGACATGCTTTTGCTTAACTTTCACTATGATGTAACGTGATTTGGAAAAACAAGGAATAACTAAACACGAAATAATAAGTGAAATTTATTTTAAATTGAAACAAAAGAAATTCGCACGATTTTATTAGCCTTTAGCACAATTTTAATCTGACGTCAAAAA